TATCCAACCTGATACCCTGTGTCTTTTGATTGGGGCATTTAGCCCATTTACATTCAGGGTAACTATTGAAAGATATGAATTTAGTGCCATTGTATTGCCTGTAAGGTGACTGTTACTGTATATTGTCTCTGTTCCTTTCTGGTCTATGTTACTTTTAGGCTCTCTCTTTGCTTAGAGGACCCCTTTCAATGTTTCTGGTAGGGCTGGCTTCATGTTTGCAAATTCCTTTAGTTTTTGTTTGTCCTGGAAGCTTTTAATCTCTCCTTCTATTTTCAGTGACCACCTAGCTGGATAGTAATCTTAGCTGCATATTTTTCTCATTTAGTGCTCTGAATATATCATGCCAGTCCTTTCTGGCCTGCGAGGGCTCTGTGGATAGGTCTGTTGCCAATCTAATATTTCTACCATTGTAGGTTACAGACCTCTTGTCCCGAGCTGCTTTCAGATTTTCTCTTTGTCTCTGAGACTCATAAGTTTTACTATTAGATTTTGGGGTGTTGACCTATTTTTATTGATTTTGAGGGGGGTTCTCTGTGCCTCCTGGATTTTGATGCCTGTTTCCTTCCCCAAATTAGGGAAGTTCTCTGCTATAATTTGCTCCAATATACCTTCTGCCTCTCACTCTCTTTCTTCTTCTTCTGGGATCCCAATTCTTCTAATATTGTTTCATCTTATGGTATCACTTATCTCTCGAATTCTGCTCTCATGGTCCAGTAGTTATTTATCTCTCTTTTTCTCAGCTTTATTCTCCATCATTTCGTCTTCTATATCACTAATTCACTCTTCTGCCTCATTTATCCTAGCAGTTAGAGCCTCCATTTTTGATTGGACCTCATTAATAGCCTTTTTGATTTCGACTTGGTTAGATTTTAGTTCTTTTATTTCTCCAGAAAGGGTTTCTATAATAACTTCCATGCTTTTTTCAAGCCCAACTAGTATCTTTAAAATCGTCATTCTGAACTCTAGTTCTGACATCTTACTAATGTCTGTATTGATTAGGTCCCTGGCAGTCAGTACTGCCTCTTGTTCTTTTTTTTAAGGTGATTTTTTTCCATCTTGTCATTTTGTTGAAAGAAGACTAGATGAATAAGAGAACAAAATGCTAACAGGGTAACAACAACCCCAGAAATACATACACTAAACAAATCAGAAGAGACCTGAAACCAGGGGAAAGAAAGAAAAAAGAAAAAAAAAATAAAGAGAGAAAGAAAAAGATTAAAAAAAAACAAACCAAACAGAATATGATCAAATATGATCAGGCTGGTGCATAGATCAGTGCCACACACTAGATTTTGGGCTTATTTTGGTCTGTTAGAAAAAACTGCCTCCCAAAATTTTAAAGAAAGAAAAACCTATATATGTACAAAAATAAGGGTAAATATGATGAAGGGATGGAATATGACTGTACAGATGAAAATTAAAAATATTTTATAAATGGAATTGATAAGATAAGAAGTTGGTTGAAAAAAGAAAGAAGAGGAATTAAAAAAAAAGGGAGAGAATGTGATCAGGCAGGAGACTAGAACAAAGCCATACACTAGAGATTTAGGGTATATTTTGGTGTGTTAGAAGAAACTGTATCCCAAAATTTTAAAGAGAGAACAACTTATATATATATATACCAAAAATAAGGTTAACTACTATGAAGGGGTAGAATATGACTCTAAAAATGAAAAATAAAAAAGATTTTTTAAAAAAGGGATTGATAAGATGTTGGTTGAAAAAGGGAAAAAGAAAATTTCAAAAAAAAAATTAAATTAAAAAAATTAACCTTGAAAGACTAAAGAATCAGGGGGAAAAAAGCCATGAATTCTATGTGCAGTATTCCCCTAGCGCTGGAGTTCTGTCGTTCTCATTGATCAGTAAACTTGGTCTTGGCTGGCTGTTCTTGTTGATCTTCTGGGGGAGGGGCCTGTTGCCATGGTTCCCAAATGTCTTTGCTGGAGGCAGAATTGCCCCGCCCTTGCCTGGTCTGGGCTAAGTAATCTGCTCGGGTTTGCTCTCGGGAGCTTTTATTCCCTGCAAGCTTTCTGTACAGCTTTGGAGGCCGAGAGTGAAAATGGCAGCCTCCCAATCTCCGCCCCAGAGGAGCCGAGAACTTGGGGCCCCACTCCTCAGTGAGCCCTAGAGAAAAGCAGTCATTCACTCCCATATCCCCGGTCTCCAGCCGCACTCCGTGCTCACTGGCCTGTGACCGAGCGTTTCTATCTCTGGCACACGACTCCGTGGAATCTCCAAACCCAGCAGATTCCTGTGGTGCACTCCCGCGCCGCTCCTCCCAGGGGAGGAAGAGGAGTCTCCCTGGGTCTGCTGCTTGTTGGGTCCCTGCTGGAGGAGCAGTGGCCCGACTGTGCCACGGATCACAGTTTATGGCAACCCTGAGCTGAGAGCCCACTCCTGGGCTCCATCTCTGCAGCTGGCTTCCCTGCTCCAATACCTGGGAGGTCTGCCGCACTCAGGCACCCCTGGTCTTTCTGTGACCCCAAGGGTCCTGAGCCCACACTGTCCCAGCGAGTGTTCCACCCCCCCCTTAGCCACTGGAGCGACGTCCCTCAGCGGAGCAGACTTCTAAAAGTTCCGATTTTGTGCTCTGCTGCTCTGTCACTTGCCAGTAGCAGCTGACAGAGGCTCCCTCCCCACAGGGGTCTATCTTCCCGAATATCCCCTCGGATTCACATCTCCGCACATCCTATCTTCCAGAGAGTGGTCGCTTTTCTGTTCAGAGAGTTGCTGCTATTCTTTTCTTCGATCTCCTCTTGAGTTCGTAGGTGTTCAGAATGGTTTGATCCCTATCTAGCCGAATTCCTGGGACCAGACAAAATTTAGGTCTCCTACTCCTCCGCCATCTTGCTCCTCCCCTTGCCTATTTTTTACTGGGTCATTTGTATTTTATTATTGATTTTAGGGCTTCTTTTTACAATCTGGATATGAGATTTTGTCAGATACATGTATTGTAATATTTTCTCAATTTGTGACTTGACTTTTCATTTTCTTAGTGGTATCTTTTGATGAGTGGAAGTTTTTAATTTTGATGAAGTTCAATTTATTATTTCTTTTATGGTTAGTGCTTTTTGTGTTCAGTCTAAAAAATTTTTGCCTACTCTAGATCCCAAAAATATTCTCCTGTATTTTCTTCTTTATAATTTTATAATTTTGACTTTTACATTTAGTACTGTAATACTTTTTTAATATATGGTGTAAGGAATGGATCAAGGTTCTTTTAATTTTTTTTAATAGAAATCCAGTTTTCCCAGCTTAATTTTTGAAAAGACTTTCCTTCCCTCATTGAATGACATTGGTGCTTTTGTCAAAATTCAACTGAACATACACATGTATATTCCCAGTTATGGACTCTCTATTCTGTTCTATTGATATCTTTGTCTATCTTTATGAGAATGCTACACTGTCTTCTATTCCTGAATCTTATATTGTCTTAAAATCAAGTAGTATAACTACTCTAGCTTTATTACTGTTTTGGCCATCTGGTTCTAGGACATCATTGCCATTACTCAAAATTTCATCATTATGCATGACATTTCCTCTTAGGGCTTTCATAATTTACCTTTATTGGGTCGAAGATACTCCTTTATACTCTCAGTTTGCTGAGAAATTTATCATAAATTGGCATTGAATTTTGTCAAAATCTTTTTTTCTGCATCACTTGAAATATCCTATTTTTTTCTATTTTACTCTGTTAACATGGAGGAATATATTGAATAATTATCAAATATGAATACATTCCTGGATTTCCTGATATAAATTCTCCATGGTTCTCTTCTATATTGTTTAGCTGAAATAGAGTCTACCTTGTCTGACATTGGTGTAGCTAATAGATTTTAGTTTTGGTGAGTGTTTGCACGTTATGCCTTTTCCATCCTTTGCTTTTCAGCTTTTTTGTGTCCTTACGTTTAAAGAGTGTCTCTCATAAGCTGCACATGATTAGATTTAGATTTTGTTTCTTAATCAGTTTGATAATACTTATATTTGAATTAGAATATTTAGTTCATTTACAATTGATCTAATTGCTGGTATAATCATATTTATATCTACTTTTTAACTAATTTTTGCTTGTCTTGGCACCATGATTACTTCCATTTATGTTTACTCTCCTTTTGTTTATCTCTTCCTTCTTGCCTTCTTTGGATTAATATAGCATTTTAATATTCAGTTTTCCCATCTATTAATTTGTTAGTTTAACATTCTTTTATTATTCTTTTTATGGTTACCCTAGAGATTATAATAAGGATTTCCTGACTTTTGTAATCTTAAATCAATTAGTAGTTTTATCACTTTCCAAACAAAGCAAGGATCTTAAAATACTTTAATTGCATTTGCTTTGTGTCAACTTTTGTGCTTTTCTGTTGTGCATTTTAATTCTGCACGCATTTTACATCTTATATTACATGACTATTTTTGTTTTGCACAGTCAATACATGCTTATATATTCCTGATACGTAAATCCTCTGATGACTGACTGAGATGATTTTAGTGTGTATTGTAGTTTTATTCTGCTTCACCTGCTGCATCCTATTACTAGGGTACAGCTCTCCAGGGGTCCTGTGTGTCCCCACTGTTTCCTTAGGCTCCACATTCTTTAAATGCCTTTAACTTCAATTGTGATTCCTCAGTGCTGTGATACTTCCAAAAACTTCATTCTGATTTCCTGCAGTTTTCTACTTAACTTTGTATCCTGTGCTTTGTGTAGCCTAAAATTTGCACATTTTTCATGAGGGAACCTACTAAGCACTAGTTCTTTTGTGTGTGTTTGTGTGCGCACGCACGCCATCTGTGACTTCTCTCCAGAATCTTGGCTCCTCAAGTCCTCGTTGCCTTGGAAGACTTGAAATCAATTTTTATGTCTACAGGCCTATGCATTTATAAAGTTTTTCTTGCTTCTTTACCTCTTAGTTAAGACCCTCTACCCACACGCTCAGTCCGTTTTTCCTGAACAAAGAATCAAGTGTTCCAAGGGCAAAATAGCTTGAAGATTATCCACTTACCTTTCTGAAGTTCTCTTCTTTCTGACTTGGATTTTCTGACTTGGATTCTTTCTGACTTGGTACCTTGGATTCTGGTTGCCATGGCAGTTTTCAATGTCTGTAAATGGTTTTTAAAAATATTGAATCTGTTTTTTCTAGTTGTTCTCAGTGGGAGAGTTGTTTTACCCCAGGGTATTACATCTTAGCTGGAAGCAGATGTCCTCTTATACCAATTTTAGTATCTTCCCCTCTCCTTTTTCAGTAAGCTACGATATCACTATGAATTCTTTTAGGGCTATGAGGACTATACGTCTAATACTATGAAGGAAATTGTGTGATAATTGCTATTTGCTTCTTTTTCAGGTTTGATGGGTGGCGACATGAAGATATTAATGCATCTGCTTAAAGAGAAATGGTAGCATAAAATAAACTTTAGTAGAAACTTATCTAATATTGTGAATGTCATAGCCAAGAATATCAGAAGCCTCACACAATTCTAGATTTAAGTGACCTAAAGTCCTTTTTATTATCATTACTTCAATTTTAAGCTTCTTACTAAAATAATTACTTCTTTTTTCTTTTTCTTTTTTCTTCAATTTTTTATATTTTGTCAAGAGATAGGAAAATAGTTGATTGACAATCCTGGTCTTTTTAGCAAATTCAATATATAACAAGGATTCATCATTTTTAAAAAAGATATATTTATTTATTTTAGAGAGTGGGGAAAGGCAAAAGAAGAGAGAATCTTAAGCAGACTCTGTGCTGAGCACTGAGCCCAATGCAGGGCTCAATCTCACAACCCTGAGATCACGACCTGAGCCAAAACCAAGAGTCAGTTGCTTAACTGACTGTGCCAAGCAGGTACCCTAAGGAGTCATCATTTTTAATTGATCAAAATTAAACTAAATTTGAAATTATGATTAATGAATCACAAGTTATTTTTTAAAGATTTATTTATTATTTGAGAGAGAAATAGAGAGCATGAGCAGGAGGGGCAATGCGAGAAGGAGAGGGAGAGAATTTCAAGCAGATTCCTCACTGAGTGTGGAGCCCCTCGTGGGGCTCAATATCATGACCCTGAGATCATGACCTGAGCTGAAATCAAGAGTCAGATGCTCAACTGACTGAGCCACCGAGGCACCCCCATGAATCACAAGTTATGATGAGTTATCAACAGCTATTTTCTGTTTTCCAAACACCTGCATTAATTTGTAATGATCACTTAGTTTCTATGCCATATATAACATGTTAGGCAAACATGATTTTTGCATAATTTAGTTAGATATTTAGCAATAAGTGTTTTTGATATTCCTGAAACTACCAAAGTGTTGAAGAAGCTCAGAAGTATTTCTGGTTTATTTTTCTATTAGGAATATTTCTCCATTCTGTTTTGATTTTTTCAGTCATTCATTCATTTACTATAAATAGGTGACCATATGTATTTTCATGCTCCCCCAAAGTCCCTGGTTACACATTTTGTCATAACATGACTTTTAAAGCACTCCTTTCATTCTTTCTTTTTTTTTTTTTTTTAAAGATTTTATTCATTTGACAGGGAGACACACAGCAAGAGAGGGAACACAAGCAGAGGGAGTGGGAGAGGGAGAAGCAGGCTTCCCGCCAAGCAGGGAGCCCGATGTGGGGCTCAATCATAGGACCCTGGGACCGTGACCTGAGCCAAAGGCAGACGCTTAACGACTGAGCCACCCAGCCGCCCCAGCACTCCTTTCATTCTTTTTTTTTTTTTAAAGATTTTATTTATTTATTTGAGAGAGAGAGAATGAGAGACAGAGAGCACGAGAGGGAAGAGGGTCAGAAGGAGAAGCAGACCCCCCGCCGAGCAGGGAGCCTGATGCGGGACTCGATCCCGGGACTCCAGGATCATGACCCGAGCCGAAGGCAGTCGCTTAACCAACTGAGCCACCCAGGTGCCCCATTTTTTTTTTAAAGATTTTATTTATTTATTTGAGAGAGAGAGAATGAGAGACAGAGCACTCCTTTCATTCTTAAAAGTGATCATTCTTTGCATGAGAGATTATATGGTTTCCTTTTATTTCCAAAAGTTGGGGTAGGAAAAAAGGGGGAATGGTAACTTGACATGGAGCCTGCCCTTCAGAAACTATGGCCTACCAAATGTAGGGAATAAGAATTAACATCAATAACTTATATAATAAGAAATGAAAAGGATCACAGGAGAGATGCAAAGATATAATATATGTTGCAATGTGGTAAAAAAAAACTTGATAAACATGTTTAAATGTTTAAGGAAATATGTGCAAAATTTTGTGAAGAGTAAAGAAGGCTTGGGGAACATATATAAAAGACAAATACTTTTTATCAGGGAGTTACTGAAGTGATAGGAGAGTGAGACTGGAATACCAGAAAGAGGAGAACGAGAAGTGAACTGATGATCTGCAACTGCTTTTCTCAGGGAGCATCTGCCAACTCCAGGCCCTGGCTGGGGACTGAGTATCCAGGCATGACACAAGCTGAGTATCCAGGCATGGCCTAAGCAGAGTCAGCAGAGGGAGGAGAGAAAGCAGAAGAAATGCTGTGGCCATCAGTCTAAGAAATAAAAGGAAAGGCAGAGAGGCTTCGACATATGTCTAGCTTCTCTCTCAAAACATTTGCAATTGCCTGAAATTGCGTGGATCAGAAAGGTTAAAAGATAAACTAAACACTTCTGACATAGAGCATTATTTTCATGGAGTCTTTCAATAATGAGGAGACAGACCCACCTGTGGGGGGGGGGGACAGAAAATGCCTTTAGCAACCACATGGACTGACAAAATTGGAGACTCAGAGGCACTCAATCATGTGGTCAGGGTTCCCCGCCATTTGTCTAATTCTGAAGTTGTGTGGGTCAGGAAGCCAAAAATCTGAACTGAAAATCTCTGAAAAGCTAGCCAGAATCTCCCATAGCCTCTTAATGCTGCAGTGATAAAGACCTACCAGATGCACAGCCAGATGTTCTGTTAAAAGTCCTGAAGGGATATGCCCTACAGTAGACCAATTCCTATCCCAATTATAAAATAACTTTGACTCAGCTCAGTTCTGGATTAGATTAAGATAATCTGTCCCCTCTACTTAACAGGTAAAGTGGTAAAGCACCTCTAGCACAGATGATACCATCTACCATTTACAGCCTCTACAGAATATTATTTTATATGTGTATGTGTGTTTTTGTTTCTATATGTGTGTGAGTGTGGTGTGTGTTTTATATGTTTAGGTGTGGAAGAGTTAGGACAATATTACCAAAAAATCAAGGGAAACAATTAGACAATAAAAGCAGACCCATAGGTAATACATTGATCACTGTTGGAGGGTTAGATCACTGTTAGAAAACTAAATCATTATTCTTTTTTTTTAAAGGTTTTATTTATTTATTTGACAGAGAGAGAGACAGCGAGAGAGGGAACACAAGCAAGGGGAGTGGGAGAGGGAGAAGCAGGCCTCCCGCTGAGCAAGGAGCCTGATGTGGGGCTCGATCCCAGGACCCTGGGATCATGACCTGAGCAGAAGGCAGATGCTTAATGACTGAGCCACCCTGGCACCCCCTAAATCATTATTCTGAACATTTCTTTTATTTATTTATTTATTTATTTATTTATTTATTTATTTATTTAAAGATTTTATTTATTTATTTGAGACAGAGAGAACGAGAGACAGAGAGCATGAGAGGGAGGAGGGTCAGAGGGAGAAGCAGACTCCCCGCCGAGCAGGGGGCCCGATGCGGGACTCGATCCCGGGACTCCAGGATCATGACCTGAGCCGAAGGCAGTCGCTTAACCAACTGAGCCACCCAGGTGCCCATATTCTGAACATCTCTAAGGAAAAGAAAAGAATCATCCATTTGGCTTGTGTTTTCTGTTTGAACTCTACATCAGAGGAACTAAATAGCTGTTGAGGGGAAATTCTACTTTAGAAAAGAAATCTAGTTGACAAATATAGAAAGGATGATAGAATTATAATATTACCATTTTGTAGTTTTGTAATAAAATAGTTGATCTTCATAATGATCATCAGTGACTGCTAAAACCATTAGGTGAAAGGCTGATGGGAAGTTTCATAATGTGTGCATTAGGCTGACCACACTTGAACCCAATGATCAATCTTAATGTGATTAATAGACAACCCAATTTATGTGCTTTTTGGTGTGGTATAATAAGGAGTAAACACTATCTCCTATAAATTATACTCCCTGTACAAACAATCATGAATCTGATCAAGCCCTCAGATCTAACTATCAATTCATAGGCAATATAGGTGACAGAGGAATGTATTAAATGACACTATAGGGACTCAACCAGTAAAATCCATAATCTGGGAAACAATCAGCATGTTTTCAACAAACAGCCATCAAAAAAGAAGAAGGGAATATCTATAGATTAAAAAAGGTTTAAGAGAGTCATCAACAAAATGCAATATGCAGATCTTGTTTGGATGCTGATTTGAAAATCAAAAGTAAAATAAAAATATATGAGACAATCAGGGAAATCTAAGTAATGACTTTAAATTAAACATTTAATATCAAATATTAAAGAATTACTATTAATGTATTTTAGATGTGATAATATTATTATTTTTCCTTTTATTATAAAAATGTGCACCTATATTATAGGCCTTTATACTGAATTACTTATGGATGAAAACATAATGATTTAGCTTTTCTTTAAAGTAAATAAATGGTGGTATAGATGAAACAAGATTCACATATATATTATTATTGAAGCTGAATGATAGGGATGTGGGGGTTCATTTTAACATTTTCTCCATGTTTCTATATTTTTGAAATTTTTCATAATAAAAAGCCATTTTTTAAAGATGTCTGAAAAACAAACAAAGAATAATATGAATTCTCACATACTAGTGTAAATTGGGCAAGCACTTCGTAGAGCAATTTTGCCATGTATAAGAAAGATGAATGTACACTCACAACAATCCACCAACTCTACTTCTAGGTCCATAGCTTAGAAAAACTCTCCCATTTTTGTGTGCAAGGAGACATAATCTAGAATGTTTACTGCAGCATTGCTTAAAATAGCAAAATGTAGGAAACAATCTAAGTGGCCATCAGTAGGAGAATTGATTATATTTTTGGTAGTGTGGTATGTATTC